TTGAGTGTTTTCCCCCTGCAACCCTCAAAGTCACGGCCACAGGTAAGTACCGGCCCTGCGGGGCCCTTCAACCAACAAGTACCCTTGCGGGTCATACACACACTCAACCGACAAGCACTCAGACAGGCATGCAAACCAGCATGCACGCACACACACAGACATGGAAATCACAACAGAATGCGGGAATTTCAGCAAGGCATTCATTGCAGCAGCAAATCCCAGAAATCAGCAGTGTTCTCAGTCTGTGTTTTTGGCGGGTCATTACATTACCCCCCTCTCAAGAGCGAGGTCCCTTCGAGCGAGTAATTCATTCAGAGTTGGCACAAAATGCGTCATAAGAGTAAATCAGACGGAGAGACTTAGTAAGTCTGTGAGGAGTCATGGTCGCAACAAATTTAGCAGTCTGTCCCTCAGCGATCTGTCCTTCATAAGCGTTCACAACACGGGGAGCACTCTTTAGCAGCTCTTTTCGGTCGATCGAGAAGAACTCAGTCAACGGGTGATAGAGGAAGTGAACCTTGTACTGTCTATTCCTCCCTCTTCCCTCGTGAGAAACGATTTTGTCTATCTCATGACCGTCGTCGATAGGGCGGGGTATCATAGGGTCTCGAAAGGGAAACGTCTCATCATCAATGTGTGGAAATAGTTTGGACGCATGAAAGACCGGATACGTGCGCAGATGAGGAGGCACGCCAATCACATATGAAGGACCAAAATCATCCCCAATCACCTTCAGAATCTGCCAAGGGCCATACCTTCAGAATCTGCCAAGGGCCATAGTACAATGGAAGGAGTTTTCGTGATATGCCCTCTTCATCAGAAAACTCAGACATTTTAACCCAAACATAATCCCCTACTTTGAATTTTTCTTTTTTGCGCAACTTGTTAGCATGTTTGATCATGGCATGCTGACGCTTGTTCATGGCTGCAATAACAACTTTGAGCAAGCGTGCGTACTCGACATTGTAGCCAGGCATGTCGGGCATCAGACCAGGTGACTGTTCACGGAGCAGATAGGAGAGGGGATTACGCATCGGCCATCCATATTGCAACTGGTTTGGTGTCACGCCAGTTGCAGAGTGAATGGAGTTGTTATACAGCCCCTTCACCTTGTGCAGCTCCTTGTCCCACGCGTTCTGATCTGGAACAATCAATGCGCGAAGTAGTTGGATGACGGTCTGGTTGATCTCCTCATCCAAACCATTGGCTTCAGAGTGTCGACCAGAAGTCTTGTTCAGTTTAATGTCATAGATTTGAGAGGTGAAGTCCTTCCAATCTTTGCTGATGAATCTGGTGTCCCGATCACTGACAATAGTTTTTGGGACGCCAAACTGCAGAATGTACTGCTGATGGAATTCTTCGATGACAAGTTCAGTTGGGGCATGGGGAGGGAAAGGAATCAAGTTCAGAAATTTGGAGAAGCGGTCCACGATGACCATGACTTGTGAATTTCCAGCCTCACTCACCTTTCCCATATCCGTGAAGTCGATGGAAATCGACTCACCGGGTCCATCAGGAATGGGGAGGGGTCTCAGCAGGCCATAAGGCTTATGCCTTTGGACCTTGGTTCTTTGACATACCTGACATTCAACAATAAATTTATGAGCAGATCCTTTCATTCCTAGCCAATCAAACTGCTGCAGAAGACTTCCATAAGTCTTCTCAAAGCCGAAATGTCCACTCCGACCATGTGCCAAATCCAAGAAATGAGTTCGGAGAGGCGCATGGTTGGGTACACACAAACGATCAAATTTCCCATACCGGCGGAACACAAGACCCTCGCACTCGTGAAAATCAGGCTGACTGTTAGGGTCAGCCTTGAGCTGCTCAAGGATGGGACTAAGGTCCAGATCCTTGGCGGTGTGTTCGACCAGATCCTCCCTCAGTTTCCTTCGGAGGTCATACGAACCCACGAGGCAAGTCAAGAATTCAGGATGGCGAGATAGCGCATCAGCAACCCGGTTATAGCAGCCTTTCTTATGTTTCAATTCAAAGCCGTAGACATCAATGCCATGCAACCAGCGGGTCAATGTAGGAGAGAGTTCAAATTGTGTCTGAATCCACTGCAAGGTCTGATGATCTGAGTAGACCTTGAAGTGGCGACCCAAGAGGTAGTGCTTCCAATGTGCGAGAGCCTCGCGCAGGGCGTAGAGCTCACGAGAGCTCACGCATATACGTGGAAGTAGCTACCTTGTGGATGGGCATGCGTTTGCTGTAGTACTCGAGCGGACGCAGGCCATCACCATCATCTTGTTGCAGCACTGCACCAATCCCGAACTGGCTCGCATCCGTAGTGACTACGAAAGTGAGGTTGGGATCTGCAATGCGAAGCACAGGATGACTCACCAACGCCTCTTTCAAGGCTTGGAACGCAGTCTCACACTTCTCACACCATGCATAGGCAACATTCTTGTTGGTTAGTCTTGAGAGAGGGTGAGCGATGACATAAAATTTGGGCACAAACTTCCGGTAATATGAGGTCAGACCAAGGAAAGAACGCAGTTCGCGTACGTTTGCCGGTTGAGGCCAGTTTCGGATGACCTCAACCTTGGTTGCCTCCGGCTCAAGGCCGTTTGCAGACAACCGGTGTCCAAGATAGATGACGCTGTCCCTCCCAAACTCAGATTTTTCTAAGTTGAGGTGCAGTTGCGCCTCCTTGAGGACCTGCAAAACTTCCTCAAGGTGCTTGAGGTGCTCTTCCATGGTTTTGTTGAAGATCAGGATATCGTCAAGGTACACAACCACAAATCTGTTGAGTTGATGGCGAAGTACCTTGTCCATNAAGATCAGGATATCGTCAAGGTACACAACCACAAATCTGTTGAGTTGATGGCGAAGTACCTTGTCCATGAGGCACTGAAAGGTGGCCGGTGCATTCGTAAGACCGAAGGGCATAACGATGAACTCGTACAGCCCATCGCGTGTTTTGAATGCAGTCTTGTGCTGGTCACTCGGATCAACTTCAATCTGGTGGTAGCCAGATTTGAGGTCGATCTTGGAGAAGACCTTGCACCCACCTGCCGCATCTAGCAAATCATCTATGCGGGGCAAAGGGTAAGCATTCTTTCTGGTGATCCGATTAAGGCCACGATAGTCAATACACATCCGGAGTTTGCCTCCTTTCTTTGGCACAAACAGGACAGGTGCACCGAACTCAGACTCG